CTCTTGTTTACTTCTAATGTCTCTACCCTACCTAATGTTTTTTTCTCAGTCAATTTCCAAAAGTTACTACTTTTAGGTAATTGTCCCCAAAACTTGGGCCCATTAATTGTGGTAAAGGTGCTAGTGATAAATAAAAAATGTTACTATCCACAGAAACATACACAATTTAATAACACTTAAAAGAATTAGTTACTCAATGAAAGAATTTTTCTCTTTTCAAAGAGAAGAGTGAACTGGGGCGGGGGGATTGGGCAGGGAGAAAAGTGCAACAATGAAGGAATGGAAATCTAAAGTTTCTGTAAACTTTCATTAAAATTAATAAAAATTTTAAAAAAATAGTTACTAACAATAGATTAATAGTGGTAGTTTCAGATATTGAGAGTGAATGAGGAAAAAGAAAAGCAGCAGTATTAATTAAGCACTTATTAGATCCCATGACAGAGATTTCATGCCAGTCAAATGATTCTCAAACCAACTCTAACAAATATTAGTATATCTATTAAATAGAAAAGGAAACTAAGACTAAGGAAGATTAAGTGGCATGTTTAACTGGTAGATTTACAACTGATTCTCTGATAGCTGAAGACACTCTACCTGTTGCCATCAAGTTGACACAACTCATACTGGTCCTCCATGACAGAGCAGAATACCCCAATGTTTCCACGGCTGTAATCTTCACAGACGCAGAATTCCATGTCTTTCTCCTGGTGGGTTCCAATTCAGACTTTGGGGTTAGCAGTCAAGAGCTTAACCACTGCACCACCAAGGCTCCTTAAACAGCTGCCTAAGGATAATAAAGCTGAAGAAAATACTATCCAATCTTCAAATAATTCTTAAGGCAAACTGTCAATATTTGCTGTTGCTCAGTTCGTGCGGATGTGAAAACTGAGCCTCTGATTTCCCCCTAGCTATAAAGCCCTGTTCAGACTGGTGGAATGGTTCGCTGAGCAACAAAGTGAGGTAAGTGGCAGCTCTGCCATTTCTTGGTTTGCTTCAGTTATGATGCCTAACAGATGATGGCTTAGTATAGCTGAGCCAAATTTATTCTAATGAGAGACTAGAAAAGGAAACTGGCAAAGAATATTCATGATTATTTTACATTTAAATGAAATTAAACAAGATGGAGAAGCTCTTTAAGTAGGTCCTAGAATACTGACGAGCCTTTCTTTTGCTTTAATCTTTGGGGAAATGGGCCATTTGTCATTTATGCCCAGCTAAGCAAGCTCAAGAAACCTCAACTAGTCCTGAAGGGAAAGGAAAGATGGTATTTATAAATTTTGCCCAAAGGTTGGATAAATAGTGTAATTATAAAGATGATATACAGGATCAAAGATCTCAGCATCAAAGATCATCTTGTCCATCTAAATGCTGCTTCATCTTGGCTACAATCCTGACAACAGTTATGTTTATATGCAGTCAAAATGTGTCCTGCTCCTATTTGAAGTCCTTTGATAATTCTCAGGGGGGAATAAATCCAAGCCTAGGTCTTAGGTTAGTTTTGTTGTTGTTGTTGTTGTTATGTGCCGTCAAGTCACCTGCGACTCATAGTGACCCTATGTACAACAGCCCTAAACCTTGCTCTATCCTGTGCCAATTGCACTGCCTCTGATACACCCATCCCAATTACCCCAGTCACTGACTCAATCCACCTCATACAGCGTCTACGTTAGTTCACTAAACAATGTATCTTACTATTTACGTTAGCTGTAGCCTATAGCAGACTTACAATTATGTATACTGAATATTAGCAAGTATTACTGGCAACACTAGCATCAGGCCCACACACTCCTACTCCATGACTACCACCAATAACATACTACTTACAGGCCTATGGTGCCAGACATACAGAACTCTGTGGGTTCTAGGTGATCCTATCTAGACATCTTTCAAGATGCAACTCAAACATGTATCTGTGAAAACGTCTCTGATCTCTATTCCTTGTCCTAAATTCCTATTTTTGCAGCACCCTGCAACAGTCATTTATCAGCATATTATCTTCCCTTTTAGGCTGTACACTCCTTGAGGTCTCTGTCATTTTTGTCTCTGCTTATGTTTAGTTAATGAAAGTACTCCAGGGACACAAAAACTGGTCAGTAGCTCCTGAAGTAGCCCTTTCCATCAACTGGCTCAGAAAATTCTTCCCTATATTCAGCCAGACACCGTGCGAGGAACACACAGAACAATTCAATCTTCTTCAGCATGTCAGCTATTGACTCATAATAGATGGACACAAGACGTAGGTCCCACATAGAGCAAGATCAACCCAAGAGAGTCCCTGCTCTCATGTAATCCACATCCTGATGGAACTAAAACACCCACCATTGTCGGGGCAGATTCTACTCATGGCAATCCTCCATGGGTTTTCAAGGTTGTAAATCCCAGTGGGAAGAGACTTCCCAACTTTCTCCCATGGTGTAGCTGATGGATTTAAAGCACCAGAGGCCATGGCCTTTGGATCTGCAGTGAGACTCGCTATGTACAATGCCACAAGAGATAGATAAATAGGCACATTTACAAGAGAACACTGACAAGGTCAGTAACAGAGAAGCACAGGCTACAAAGAGAAGGAAAAAATGCAAAATTTCAGTCTCCAGGATCCTGAAGACTGAAGAAGTGCTGCCTGCTCTGCAAGGATCACAATGGAAGGCTCCTTATAGAGAGGAGAGGAAAATGTGGAGCATAACAAGCACAAAAGAACCAGATTTACTGGACTAACAGAGACTGATGGGATCCTTGAGACCATGACCCTTAGTCACCATTCAAACCTGGAATCAAAATTACCTCTGTTATTTAACTTTAACTTTTAGCCAAATGATAGGCAGTCCTATAAGGTGATGAAAAACAACAGGAGAAACACTCCTGAGATAATCAACCAAACAAAATAAAAAAGGCAGCATCTGCTCAGGAATAAAGCTCAGAAGGCAGGAAGGGAGATGAGAAGTGGAAACAGGAAGCGCAAGCAGGATGTAAAAAAAGTGTTGTTACCATGTGGGGATTATAACTGAGGCCAGGAAACATGAATTGTTAAATGGGAAACAAATCTGCTTTGTAAACTTTCATTCTGATCACAATAAAATGTTAAAGAAAGAATGTGTGAAGAATATATAATGAGACTGGTAGGCCACAGAAGAGTTCCAGGAAGGCTTGCCACTCTGGCTGAAACTTTAAAGGATGAACAGGAGTTATCCATGTGAGAGAGGGAGGTGGGACAGGCCTAGAAAATGATTTAAAAAAGAAGGGTTTCTCTTGAGGTTGCTGAGTGGTCTCAAACTTCTACCCTTTCAGTGAGCAGGAGAGTATGTTAGCAGTTTACACACCCAAGGACTCCTCCATGTGTAGACATCCTCCTTATTTTGTCCTCAGTTACCTCTCCCACATGGACACCTTATGTGCTCTGGTGTCTGACACCTTGCACTTGGCAGCTGGTGTGCAAGCACTCTCCTCACTCCTACACTTGCACCACACCATGCAAAGGCATATGTGACACTGTAGTGCGGAAACCCTCTCATCTCATTCAGGCTCCAGTTCCCTATGCTGGAGCACCCTTCACATGGACACACCCTTCTCAGGTTCTGATACTACACTTGAGAGGGAGACCAACAACACATTCATAACCAAACACATTCATACTTGTATTTTCAAAGTCAAGCACAGCACACATAATGTATGTGATACTTTAGGTAAACAGGTGCTGAATGTTAGAATTAATCCTATGTTTAATAGAGTTATAGTTAATAATTCATAAATAGTTGTATATACAGGTCCTTCTAGAGTGGCAATACCTGATAGGGTTTACAGAAGCCAATCTGGGAATTGTGGACTTAAAACAAATCTGATTCAAATTATAATGAGCTGTTAAGTATAAAACAAGCACTGAATTGCAAAAACTGTGTGAAAAAAACCCTTTAAATATTTCATTACTATTTTATATACTGATTACATGTAGAAGTGATATGGTAAAGACACTGGACTTAATAACATTAATTCTATTTCTTTGCCCTTTTTTTTGGTTAAGGAGTCCTGGTGGCTTAGTCACGGGAGCCGTGCTGCACATTTCAGTTCGCTGGAATCCACCAGCAGCATCACTAGAGAAAGATGGGTGATCTCCTCCTCTTGTGATTTACGGCTGCAAAAACCAACTCGAAGGTCACCACTATGAGTCAGAACTGACTTGACAGCAGTTTTTTTGTTGTTGTTGTTCTGAGATTTCTTTTTCATTTAGTGATCTTGTGGTAAGAAGCTATGCACACTCTGCACAGGGTTCGAATCCACCAGCATCTTTGCAGGAGCAGGAAGGGCAGTCTCCTCTCATGTGATTTACTGCCTCTGAAAAACCACTGGAGGGTCAGCTATGGGTCAGCTCCAACTTGACAGCACACGACAATAACAACTAGGAAATTTTAAATTGTATTACATATGTTCACATACTGTGCAATATTGATTTAGAAACTTCTGCTGAACCAAAAGATCAAAAGATTGAGGGTTAGATATATGGCCTGTTTAGAGTAGCTGACAAAAATCTTTGTATACTTCTAAAACTTTGCCAGCTAGAAAGACTATTCAAATGAATAATCACAAGACATGAAGGAATGCCAGCATCCAAAAGTTGTTTTAAAGAAAGTTGATATTATAATACATTAATTACATGAATCAATTTGTAAAAGAAAGAATATATTGTTTTTTAAAACTAATTATGTCTTTTAAAAATGTCTCCATCTAACTCTACTCTCTAATAATGATCAAAATTGTATACGCCTAAACAGAAGTATTAAACAAGTTATTTTCAACTTACTTCCTATATTTGCCTTCTTTATTTTACTTAATTTGAATCCTTTGGGCTGCAGTAAAATCTTCAAAGATAACAAATCACACCTCCTCTTTTTTCCCCCTTTCCATTTCCTTGCCTCAAGACCATTAACTAGTTATTTGTTCTACTCTCAAATGTGAAGTTCCTCTGGATTAAGAGAGAATAAACATTTAGTCATTTTGTCAGTACTAACCTGCATTTCATATTTCAGAGTCATGTGGAAGCACCAGGATCCCAATCCTACAACTGAAATTAAAACAAATAAAAAAACAATTAGCATGATATTTTAGGGGAATGGCCAGAATGGCCTGAGAAGACAGTACGAAAGTTCAAAGCATTGGGTTTTAGGAAGAATAAAGTTTATAAAATATTGTTATTATCTGTCTTTTAAAAAATAACTATTTTAGCTGATGTGAGGGGAGCCCTGGTGACATAATGGCTAAGCAGTTGGTTCCAAGGTGATCCATTTCTTGCCTAACCCAATGCTGTCAAGTAGATTCTGATTCATGGTGACTCTCCCCGCCAAGTTTCCGAGACTGTAAATCTTGACAGGAGCAAACAGCCTCTCTCTCGTGCAAAACAATGGATTCAAACTGCCAACCTTTTGGTTAGAGACCCGATAGGAAACCCATTACCCACTATGTACCTAGTCTAAAGAATGAGAAGAGGCCTATCTGGAGAGAGAATCCTTAATCTGATTGTTGTTTTATACTGTCAAGTCAAAACTGATAGCTGACCCTCCAGTGGGTTTTCAGAGGTAATAAATCACATGGGAGGAGATTACTCATCTTTCTCCCAAGGAGTAGCAGGTGAATTTGAATTCTGGCCTTTGGATTGGCAGTGCAACTCCCTACCTTTAGGCCACCAGAGTTCCCTTGGACTTGAGTAATAAATGAATCAGTTGAAAGGACAGAGGGGAGGGGAAGAGATTTTTTGGGGGGGGGGCTGGTTTATTTTTATACTAGTTTATCTACAAAATTAGAATGAATTGTTTTCAAGGACAGATTCTTCCAATTTCCCTCACTCCCTCACCTATCAAATTGTACAACTCCATGATTAATCCCCTTCCCCTTGCACATGTTTATCCCTCTGCATCTACCCTTCTCCAGCATTTGGTAATACCATCTCAGACAAGAGTCTTATAACAAAAGTTTACAGAATACTCCTGGGCCTCCTCAAGAAAAAGACTGACAACCCGATTACAAAATGGGAAAAATAAATGGAAAGAATTTTCACAGAGGAAGATATTCAAATGGCAAACAGACTTATGAAGAAATGCTCTAAATCACTGGAAATAAGAGAAATATAAATCAAAACCACAACGTGGTATCATCTCACTCCAGTAACAGTGCCAAAGTTTGACAGGCAGCAAGTAATAAATGTTGGAGAGGATGTGATGACCATTCTGGAAGGCAGTTTGGCGCTTCCTCAAAAAGTTGAACATACAAATTCTGTATGTCCCAGCTATTCCACTACTTGGAATATACTCTGAGAAAATGAGAGCTGAGGCACAAACAGAGACTTGTACACTAATGTTTATACCACAAACGGATGGGTTGAGAAATTATGGCACATTCACACAATGGAATACTATGCAGTACCAAGAGCAATAATTTTATAAATTATTACCTAACTTGGGAGGGACTGGAGAGCATTATGCTGAGTAAATGAACTCAGTCCCACAAAGACAAATGTTGTATAAAACCATTATTGCAGAAAAAGACACCACCTTTATAAGGAAAGATTATCCAGAGCAAAGGACAGGCAGCATTTTCAAATAAGTAGAAGAGCTTGGTTAAGACCATGGACAATGTCAGAGTAGAGATCTACTGTTGATTCTTACATGTCCTGTAGAAGCGAGATTTAGATTTCGTCTTTATCGTAGGGACAACAGAAAACTGTTGGAAAACACACACACACACACGGAAATGAAAAAAAAAAAAAACCACAAAAAACAACAAACACCAAACACTAAAGGAACAGTCTCCCAAATTTGATGGAAACCCCTCCCAACAATCAAACAAATAAAACAACCAAATTAAAAACTTTGTAATAACGTCATATATGTATATTTATAAAATTATATGTGTGTGTGTGTGTGTGTGTGTTGTATTGTTGTTAGGCACTGTTGAGTCAAGTAAGACTCAAAGTAACTCTATGAACAACAGACCTGAACCCTGACCTATCCAAGCCATCTTCATCTCTGGTACACTTGAGCCCATTGCTGCTGTCACTGTTTCAGTCCATCTCGTTGAGGGTCTTCCTCTCTTTCACTGAGACCCCACCATTCCAAGCATGATGACCCTTTCTAAGGAATAGCCTCTCCTAGCAACATGCCTATCAAAGTTTAAGAGATGAAGTTCTGCCATCTTTGTCTCCAATGAACACTCTGACTGCACTTTTCCCAAGACATACTGGTTTTTTTCCTGGCAGTCCATGAAATTTTCAGCACTGTTCTTCAACACGACAACTCCAAAGCATGACTTCTTCTGTCATCCATATTCATTGTCCAGCTCTCAGATGTGTAGAAAATGATTGAAAAGACTGTAGCAAATGATTGAAAACATTAAAAGACATCACTGCTTTAAAGAGGTTCTTCACAGCAGACTTGCCCGGTGCAGTATGTCTTTTTTCTTTCTTGACTGCTGGCATCAAGGTATTCATTGTGGATCCAAGTAAGATGAAATCATTGACACTTTCAATCCTTCATCCATCTATCATGATGCTGAATATTGGCCCAGTGTTAAGGACCTTTGTTTTCTTAATGTAATCCATATTGAAGGCTATAGTCTTTGATCTGCACAGCAAAGCATTTCAAGTGTCTTCCTCACTTCTCAGCCGGCAAGAATATGTCTTGAAATGTTGTGTTATATCACACACACACACACACACACACACACACAAATATAAATTTAGAAAAATGAGGTAAGGAAGTTAATATTAAGTACAAATAGAACTTACAAAAATTTCTTTATCCCTACTGACAAGTTTTGTCACCCTTTGAACACAAGTTTAAAGGACAAAGACTGAAACACTTGCAAAGTATACATGGAGTTCATAATGTGGCTCCACTCATATTCTCCACTGCAATTTGCAGTGCAAGTACACTTAACTGCTTACTGTTCATGATCTCACATTATAAAATTCTTGCTGCTTTGCCTTTCTTTGCTCACCTCCTCATTTCACTTATTTATGCACATATAATCTCATCCTATCCACCTCAATCTCTATCTTTGCTTACTGAAATCCTATGCAATCTGTAGGTTTAGTTTCTTTTTTTGCTCATTACTGTTTAAAGTGAAAAAGACTTAAATTCATAGAAAATCTGAAAAAATACTAACGAATGATCTCCTATATATGCTCTATCCAGATTCGCCAATTTCAACATTTCCGTTAAATTGTTGCTCTCAACTATTCATTTTCTGAACCATTTGTAAGAAGTTTTTATACATTATGTGCCGTTACCCCTTAATACTTCAGTGAGTATCCAAATCAATTTCAAATGTGACCACCTAAGTGAAAACTTTCTCAGCTTCTTCCCCATTTAACTTGACCACATGAGGCATCTAAGAAATCATGTTTGGCTAAGCCAATTTTTACTGTGCACTATGTTGTCAACAGAGCTTTATAAGTGGTAAAGTTTCAGTCCAGAACCTTCTAGTTCAGTGTATTACCCAGTATCTGCTTTGTAAAGGTCTGTTAATGTTTCTGTTGGTCATCAAAAGTCAATGATTACAATTACATTCTAAGCTTTACAAAGACACAGGCTCCATTGTTAATGAAAGAATCTCTAAAACCTAGCACAGTGCTAAATATAGAAAGCAAGCTTCTATATTTGCTGATGGACTGATTATTTGTCTTTCTCTCTTGATGATGTAGCAATTCACATTAAAAGAGTGAAAGAGACTGTGTGTGTGTGTGCATTTGATGTGCATGTGTGTGCGGTGTATTTGTGTAGTAAATAATGATGAATGTTCCTGAACGGAGAAAATTAACAGGAGAGATGAATTTCAAGAGAAAAAAAATGTTATCTAAATAAAATATGAGCAACAAGAACATAAAAGTTTGAGGTTATATTTAAAAGAGAACTTGGAGGTTTTCAGGAGTAAAGACTGTGAACAAGAATATACTAATAGGAAACATACAGTGTGAATAAAGTATAAAGTTGTCAAAAGTATTTAGAGACAAGCAAGTCATTCAGTTTGGCAGGAGTATGAGAAACAAATAGAAAATAAGCCAGAGCTCTAGGTGAGGTGGGTACAAATACTGTACATTAAAAAGTTTGCATCTAATAATTCCAGTATTATTATCAGGTACTTTTCTCTCCAAACATTTAAAAAGTCCTACAAAAGAGACAGCCTCATTTTTATTTTATATAAGATGAAAGTGGTGTTAATAAAGGTTAAAAAACAGACAAGGTCATAAAGATACGGTCACATGGTGGAGCTGAGATTAGAGGCAAAGTCAGTCTACCCAAAGACTTGCCTTTTGCCATAACTACCCTTGGAGGCAGTGGAAAGAAATTTTAGCCTTATGATAAAGTCTGTAGGGGAAAGGTGTTCAAAAAAGTAGAACTTTGGCTTAAGAAATCTGTATTGTTCCTTGTTACTTGTGATGTTAGGGAGGAAATGTCCAGACAAGAAAAAACAAAGTCTCAATTTTAGGACAATGACAATACAAACACACAGAAGCAGTTATAGAGATCACAAAGCTAAAATATGAGGATCTGAGAGGTGAGTGAATACAGGCAACTAAAAAGAAGAGAGAGGGAAAACCTCCAGTGCTGCCCAGTCTTTTCCAACTCATAGTGATCTTCCACCAGGGCTCTGAAGCCAGGAGGAGACTGCCCAACAGTCTCCCATAGAGCACCTGGTGGAGTTGAACCACTGGTTGGCATGCTACTAATAAGGGTCCTTGTAAGCAATGGGGTTATGCACTTCGCCAACAGGGCTCCATGTAAGTATGTCAACTGTCCTTTTATGCCAAAAATATAAGAAATTAGACCAACACAGTAACTGTGACAAGCCTGCTGAGAGATCATGAAAATGGTGCGGGACAGAGTGAGGTTTCCATCTGTTTTACTATGACGCATGTGCATGCCAGATTCTGGTTTTTGGTTGATGAACTTGTGACCATCTATGTCTAATTCGCGGGCCTCTTCTCTTTCTGTATTCATTCCCTTAGTGACCTCATAAATTTCTCATGACTTTATTATTATTATTTTATCTTAAATTTTGTTTTGTTAC